AAGTCGGGTGAGCGAGAGCGGCTGAATGACGTACTTGCTGGTAAAAAGTCGTCTTTCTCAAGAAGTCTCGGTGGACAGCTCACATAGTGAGCTGCCACGCCGCTTAAAAGCTGCATCGCGTTCTCTGCCTTGAGGCACTTTTGGCATACTGAATACATCTACACACAACTTTGCATAATGATACCTACCCTCTGAAAGTTGTTTGTACACAATGATTTTCTTAAAAGCAATGCATCCCCGGTATTTGTTTTTTTTTTCTAGTAGTGACAAAGCTCTCATAATCTCAACATAGGTAGGAACTCTTTTCTTGTGGATGTGAAACTCGGCTCAAAAATTTTTAAAAGTGAACAATGTTGGCAAACTCTTACAAAATGCTGTCTTGTTCTCAGAGTTTCCTCGCATATGGATCAAAGGGCTCCATTTTGCGCAGTCAGCTATAACGTCACTAAAGTAACGAACAGTGTCCCGAGAATTGGTTCTATTCAGTACCGCTTCCGCATCTCAAAACTGATAAATAGCAAAAAGAATTTGCTCGTGCTGGGCAATCTGATATGCTGATCAAGAATCACATTTATTTCGCGCAATAGTCCTCATAGATCTGTGTATCTACACTTAGTAGAACGAAGCGTGTCAAAAAAACAAAGCAACTCTATCTAAGAGATATTTGATGTGATTCCCCTGATTATCACTTCATTTCGCATCATCACTTTTCAGTAGAGCTATGGAGGGCTTTGCAAGGCAAACTTTCCTCACCTACCTAACAAAGGAAGGGTATAAGTGGCTGTCGCTTCAGGATGGGATGTGTACCAGAAGAGTAGTCTCAGAATACAAGAGATAGCGACATGCGTCAATGAATGTGTGGTGTAGTGTTAAGTGTGCTGTGTAAGGTGAGTCATGCAGGTTCGAATCCATCAAATGCAACATTTTTGCATCTTTTCTAAGATATTTTTCCTCAATCAGAAAGCCCATTTATCAAGATTATGCTATTTTCCCATTTTTCCATGAATTTTTGAAAGATTGCTAATGAAAAAAATCTTAATTTTCAACTTTCTTAGCCTCATTCCATAATAAGGTGCTCTGCTAAATCATGTCTATTTCACTAAGGCTGTATCAAATGAGCAGAAGTGATGAGAAAAGTAACGCTATTCTTATAAATTCATTTGTAAATTCGACATCTATGGGCGGTGTAATCTTCTTTGCCGAC